CACACACACACACACACACACACACACAACCATCACCACCACCTACCACACTTTTTCTTCCCTCTCTGGGAGGTCCTTTGCAGTGGTGCAATTACAGACCCATACAACAGTCCAAAGCCTTGGACACAACCACTTTTCAGCTCAGCGCCCTTCTACACCACTCCACCCCCACCCCTGAGTTTGTTATGGAAAAGGTTAAATCTTGTCCTGAGCCTCAGAGCAAGATCCAGGTAAAGCTGAGAAATGGGGGCTCTTTCCATTAAGGGGCAGGCCTGGCTCAGCAGCACCCTACAGGTGTCCCTCACCGTGCCCCACCCTTGAACCTGGGTGCATGGCAGGTGGTGGGGGTCAGGCTCCCTGAGGTGTCACCAAAGGAGGCTTCCCAGGGGGAGGGTGTCAGCTTCTCTATGGAGGCCAGTTCTTTAAGGGGACCTAGCTAGGGAAGGGAGAGGGCAATCTTCATTTAAATGCAGATACAGGCTTCTCACCTGGGACCGAGGAAAGTTTTTCCATTAAAATGCTAATGAAAGAACGAACTCCAACTCCAAATCCCCAGCTGTTGCAGGCTTCTTCCCTGCCCCCACTCCCAGCCCAGCTCTGCACGTCCCGTGTGATGGGGGGCCTGGACCCTGGAAAGAGATGACTCTTCCCTGTGTCTCTCCCAGCCCATGGCTCTTGCTGCTGGGGGCTTTGGACGGCTCTCTAGAGAAACTGCAGAAGGGACAAGTCTCCTTCCCTAAAGCAGTGAGCCTGTGGATGGCAGAGGTCGTTGAGGACCAGAGCCCTGGAGTCAGACCTCAATTATTCCATTTTTTGACTGTACATCCTTGGAAATTTTTCTTAACATCTCTGAATCTCATCTGTAAAACAGATAATACTACCTTTGTTATAGAGTTGATTGGGTAATTATATGTATGTGTGTATATGCAAGTATATTGCTATAGATAAAGACATAAAGCCTGAAATTAGTGCATGGCAGCTGTCTTTACTGCTATTGTAAATACAGTGAAGCAGACTCTTAGGGTCCCACATACTGCCTATTCCCTCAGCTGCCCTGACTGAAGGTTCCAGAAGGCAGCTTGGGCAAGGAGCACCCCAGGGCAAGCTCTGCCTTCTCGTCATCATGCCTCAGGTTTGTCCTTTCCTGCACAGACCCTGACGCTCTTAGATCTGAAGCCCAGCCGGGGGCCCATGTCTGGGGGCACCCAAGTGACCATCACAGGCACCAACCTGAATGCAGGCAGCGACGTGGTGGTGATGTTCGGGAAGCAGCCCTGCCTCTTCCACAGGTAACCACAGGACCCCTGGAGTGTGTCACTACCTGGGGCAGGCAGGGAGGAGCGACTAAAGGTGGGAACTTCCTGGCTGCCTTTTGGAAGTCCTCGCTGTTCCCTGAGAAAGGGCGCTGACTGGAGTAGAGCACTCTGGCTCATTGAGAGTTCTTCCAGGCACCCTTCCTCCACAGAGTGCAGCTAGAAGTTTGTGGAGAGCCTGTTCCTAGCACAGCACCTCTGCAGCTGCCACAGAACCAGCTGGGACTCAGAGCTGACTGGAGCAGGACCAGCACAGAGCCTCCTGGCAGGTGGCTTTCCCTCCCTGTGCCACCCTCCAGCCCAGCAGGGCATGCCTGACCTCCCAAGAGCTCCAGAAGATGCTTGGCCTGTGTATTAATCGCTTTTGAAACATCTCATTGCTATCTGTTTCTCAATAAAATTTTTTTAGAAGATGCCTGGCCTGAAGGCCTCTAGAGTGAGGTGCTCCTGGAAGGGAGTGGCCTGAAGTGGGACCAGCCCGGAGGGTGCTTTAGTAGTGTTAAAGAACAAGTTACCCTAACACCCATTAACCTGCAAGGAAGGCTTGGTCAGGACAGCCACAACAGGTGCAGAGTGGGGAGTGAGGACAGCAATGTGGACAGTAGGAGAAAGACAGCTCAACTCCAAGCACTGCCAGGAACACAGCTGGGGACCCCACAGCCAACCAGTAGCATGAAGATTCTGTGGGAGAACTGGAAAGAGGAGTTGGCAAGGGGGCATCCTGGTGGAGCTGACTTGGGATTCTTGCCAAGGAAAGGCTAGGGTCATCAGAAATCAAGGGCTTGGAGTCCTCACCAGACTGATTAGCAGGGTTCTTGGTAAAATATGGGGCTACATAGAACTAAAGGCCCAGGACTGCCAGGCCTATGTGAAGGGTGGGTCTGGGAGCCTGCCCAGAGCTCAGTCCAGGAGAGTCTCTGGTCCTGAGCAAGGTATCCAACCCAGTGCTTACTGTTTACCTCCGAGGAGCCAGATCCACATGGGGAGACTGGTGTGGCGCCAGAAGCACCGTCCTCTCCACATCCTGGGCCCCAGAGCTCTGCCTTCCCTCCTCCAGGCGCTCGCCATCCTTCATTGTCTGCAACACCACGTCCTCGGATGAGGTTCTGGAGATGAAGGTGACAGTGCAGGTGGACAGGGCCAAGATCCGCCAGGACCTGGTCTTCCAGTATGTGGAGGACCCCACCATTGTGCGCATTGAGCCGGAGTGGAGTATCGTCAGGTAGGAGCTACCTTAAGAGTACCTTCATGGCTCTGTGCCTCAGTTTCTCTTCCACAGCTCTCAGAAGCCAAGGAGAGTCCTGGGAGCTCAGTCACACTGTGGCAACAGATGAGCTGGGTTTGGCTCTGAACTCCCCCAAACTAGGCTTTCCTCCTGCAGTGGCTCCCTTATTCTGCCTCCATACAGGACTAACCTGGAGGCTGGGCTCTGACTTCAGGGCTGTGTCTCTCCTACCCACAGTGACAGGTACCTCACTATGGCAAATAGGGGTATCCTGGTTCTGCCTCAGGCTGAGGCATGAGGGAGGAGGGAGATCAGAGCCAACTCCCCTGAAGGGCAGTGTTTGGGTCTGCTGCCTTGCTTCCCTTAATGCCCATCATGAGGGCACTGAATTCCTAGACAATGGGCCTGTGTTGGATGCTGGTATAAAAAATCCTAATGAAGGATTGGGGCTCCTCAGTCATTCACCTGGGGCAAGTCCCAAAGTGGAAACCTTTTCTGCAATTTTCTGGGGATTTGGAAACCTGAGGTCTCTGGGGTCTCTGAGTGGGACTAGGGATATCTTACAGCATGTGTCTGCCATGGACTAGTCCAGGCAAGGGAGAGGTCTTGAAACCAGTGATGCCTGGGCCAAATCTGGCTGGTCACTTGCTTTTTAAAATAAAGCTTTATTAACAGCTGTCCTGTCCATTCTGTGAAGCCTCTAGTTGTTTTCTTACGGGGCTGGGCTGTCAGCTTGGCCTCCACACACTGTCCTCGCCCCGAGTCGGCTCAGTGAAAGATGCCACTGACATCTGGACATCACTCTCTTCCCCTTGGCTGCTGAGATGCTCATTCTTATTACCCTGCAATTGGCTTGTCATCCTTGTCCCCAAGAACATCATTGTGCTGTCTGGTTATCATTGTTCTTATTGTTAGAGCTCATCCTGATTATTATCATTGTTGCATCGGGCACCTTTGTTCCTACATTGGTATTCACGTGCCCCATTCTTTCCTCCCTGGCAGTGGAAACACACCCATCGCTGTCTGGGGCACTCATCTGGACCTCATTCAGAACCCCCAGATCCGTGCCAAGCATGGAGGGAAGGAGCACATCAATGTGAGTCCAACATGTTGTCTTCCCAAAGGGTGGGGCATCCCGGGCTCCCCTGCCCTCAGTCTGTGACCTCCTCAGTGCTAGGATGGTGGGCATTCCCAGCCCCTGTGAATATAGGCCTGGAGGTCCTATCACTTTCAGAGTTCCTGGGGTTTCACATCCCTACTCCTCCACCTTTGCAACCCTCTACTGCTCCCTAGCTTAGAAAATACCCTAGTCACTCCTAAACCCACCTGGAGTGAAAACAGAGTGCAGTGACAGCCAGAATGTAAGCTGAGTGCCCGAGTGCAGCACCCTCATCTCCGTGGTCCTGTGGAGATAGTTCCCTCATGGTCCTACGAAGGTCTCCCCTGATGCATTGATAGTTTCCAGGGAGACCCAGCACATATGGCGTCATCTTCCTCTCTGTCTCCTCCCCTAGATCTGTGAGGTTCTGAATGCTACTGAGATGACCTGCCAGGCTCCAGCCTTGGCCCTGGATCCTGAACACCAGTCAGACCTCACTGAGAGGCCTGAGGAGTTTGGCTTCATCCTGGACAATGTTCAATCCTTGCTCATCCTCAACAAGACCAACTTCACCTACTATCCCAACCCTGTGTTTGAAGCCTTTGGACCCTCAGGAATCCTGGAGCTGAAGCCTGGCACCCCCATCATCCTGAAGGTAGAGTGAGGCAGGGTAAAAGGCCTCTGCATGGAGAGAGAAGGTGTCCAAGCATGGAAAGAGGACACAAGATACAGGATGGCCCAATTTCAGGACTGGTGTCCCTTGCAGAGGTTGTGTGTAGAGCCGAGCACTCAATAGGCCTGATCTATCCAGGACAGGCAGGTCTACTGAGGCTACTGGAAGCCCAAGCTTTGGTCTCCAGTGTCCAGGAACCAGGTGGTCAGAGACTCATGTTGTGTCCTCCCGTGTACCTATTTGAAAAACACACCTTAAGTTTTCTTTGGAGTAGATTCCAAGTGAACTTTATCTTATAGGACAATTTGAATCAAGTGGTAATGACTGACCACAACTCTGTACTATATTGAGAAGGATTCTTTGCACTAGGGATAAGCTGAAAAATACTTTATTTATTTCCCACTGGAAGGGAGGATGGTTATATATACCCCATATTGGTCTATTTTCTGTTACTATCACAAAATATTTGAGGCTGAGTGTTTACAGAGAAAAGAGGTTTAATGAACTCACCATTTTAATTTTTAAAAATATTTATTTATTTAATTTGGTACGAGGTCTCAGTATGCAGCTCAGACTTATAGTGATCCTCCTATCTCTGCCTACCTACCACTGGGATTACAGGCATGTGCCACCATGGTTGGTTTCAGGGCCCGCGTGGCATGCAGTACCAGGGATCATTGTGCTTGCTGGACAAGAAGCACTGAGACCCGACCTATCTCCCCTGCCTGGAGCTCACAGTTTTTGAGGTTGAAAATCTAAATAGAGAGGTACTGACTTAGTGAGATGATAAGAGAAATCACATGGTGAGACAGGAAGCCTAAGGCAAGGAAGGGGAGGTCATGACCTCCACTAGGCCCCGCCTCTTAAAGATCCCATCACCTCTTACTGTCACTGCACCAGAACCAAACTTCTAATGGGAAGCCTGAGGGGACAAACCACATCCATACCAACGCCAGCTTGGCAGCTGGATAGGCTGTCCGCTATGAAGACACGGCAGCCACCAGGCACTGAGGTCATGGCTCTGGTGGGAATAGGTGTCTTCCTGTGTGTCCAGGGTAAGAACCTGATCCCACCTGTGGCTGGGGGCAACGTGAAGCTCAACTACACTGTGCTGGTCGGGGAGAAGCCGTGCACTGTGACAGTGTCGGATGTGCAGCTGCTCTGCGAGTCCCCCAACCTCATCGGCAGGCACAAAGTGATGGTGAGGCTGGCAGCACCCCTGCTTGGGAGGGCAGATGGGAGCTTCACTGGGTGAGCATGGCCCAGCCAATGCAAGCCGCTGGGGCCTCCGGCGAGAGATCCCAGTCCATCCCCAGCCGTCCACGCTGACAAGGGGAGGGACCTTGGGGAAGCTTGTCATGCGGCTGCTTAGGCACCAGCTGTGGGCAGCCTCCTGATGAGGATGACACGGGGATTCCCGAATAAGAGGACGTGCTGCCATCCGTCCCGCCCATGCCCCATGGGCCCTCTCCTCTATCTTCACAACCTGATGAGGCTCCTCCCTGCCAGTCACGTCCTCTCTCCTCCTGACTCCGTCCCCACTCATACCTCTCTCTTACCCCCTGTGTCCCCAGGCCCGTGTGGGCGGCATGGAGTACTCCCCGGGGATGGTGTACATCGCCCCGGACAGCCCTCTCAGCCTGCCGGCCATCATCAGCATTGCCGTGGCTGGTGGCCTCCTCATCATCTTCATCGTGGCTGTGCTCATCGCCTACAAACGCAAGTCTCGCGAGAGTGATCTCACGCTGAAGCGGCTGCAGATGCAGATGGACAACCTGGAGTCCCGCGTGGCCCTGGAGTGCAAGGAAGGTACTAGTAGCCTTCGTTGTCCCTGTCGTGCCCGTGTCCCTGTTGGAGTCTGTATGTACACTTGTGTGAGCATCTAAACAAAAAGCAAGGAAACAACCCAAATGCCTATCAAATGAGAAATGGATAAAAAAAGGTGTGTGTGTTTTTTTAAAAGGAATACTAAGCTATAAAGAAGGCTAAACTCAAGGCTTTTATAGGTAAATACATGCAGCTAGAGATCATACTCTTAAATGAAATAAATCAAATCTGCATGTGTAAATAGCTTATCGTCTCCCTAGTACAAGAAACTGAAAGAGTAAATAAGATCCAAAATCTACTAAAGGTATTGTGAAAGAGAAAGAAACTGCCCAGAAAGAAAGAACAAGGGGCCGGAGAGATGGCT